ATCAAATCATAAACGCATGATTTGAAATCAACATTTATTATATCAAATCATTGACGTATGATATCATATCAGAAAACTTTATTTAATAAATAACGAAAAAAATGACAAAATTAAGCTATATCATTTTTTTTACAAACGGCGCCCCATACTGGACGTGAAAAAGGTGTCAGAAAGTCAAAAAAGTGCTCAAAGTGTTTTGAATAGAAATGAACGCCATATTATACAACAGACAATTAATTCAGTTCGCGCGAATTCCTGTTGATTATTTGTTGTCCGTTTTATAAGATATCAAAATTGTCTGTAACTTATTACATTTTCCTTGACTGCTTAGTATCTACTTTTAATATCTTCGTACAGTTGATATTTATGCGATCTCAAAGTACAATGTTTAGAGCTGTACATAGCGTGCATTTTATCACAGTATCACGGGGATAAAGGGATTCATTTTCTAGGAAAATTTCACTTTCCCGTCAAGTGACAGCCACTGACTCAGTCAGACTTGGAGTAGTGCTCAAAAAAGCGAGCGGGGTTATGTTTTGTAAAATTTATCTACAGTCTGCGGCCCACATCACCACGATCCACAAAGGTCTAACGTTAACCCATCTTTTCTGAGAAAAATAGACCTTTTAATGATGTACAGGCTGCTTACATATAGATGCTGTGGGCTGAACTTGGGAGAAAATTCCAAAACAGATCCTTATATTAAAACTGTTTTGTTCAAGCAGGATGATTGAGCCAAGCTTGAATGTAGAGACCCGTTTATAACCTAAAATTTGCAAAAAAAAAAATAAAAAGCCATATATTTGTGCCTCTGAAAGGGATGCAAACATGGTGTCTCCTTACAAAGCTTTATAAATTTGGGTAAAACGTTTTTCCGAATATCTCGCATATGAAATAATGCACAGACCTGATTCTTAACAAGGCTTTTTGTATGTTTATCTTCTTTAATTTTCCAGTTTCTAGACTTTCTGTATTAAAAGGTTTTCATTTTTAATTTTGGTGCTGTCATTACCTCTACCGACTGGAAGAACTGAGTTTACGACATAGATCGAGAAGCTAGCGTAAAATTCTCTCATACCGCACCACACATTTTCTACAATCTTTATAATATATAAAAAAAAAACATCAGACCGAAAGCTTACGGTTTTTTATGGTACTGCCCCAGTAATGTATACATAAACTCCACGGTGGAAAACAAAAAGCGGCGATCTCTCCAGAAGCTCCTAGACGAAAACGAAGGACAAATAGATACAAAAGTACCCAACGATAGCGAATTTCAAATATGTGTGGGCTAGCATGAACTAAATGCATTGTCTGTTGTTGGCTTCACAATAGATCTAAGTGCCCTTGATGGAAACAACTTTAATTTGAGTGTGAAGGGGTAAAATATACTCCCGGCCTTGAACTTAACTTAGCAACCATCCAGACCATGGAAATATTCGTATTTCAAGGAAGCCGAAGCACTCCGCCAAGTTTGATCTACTTACTTGAGAACACAATTGACCAGTGAGGAATGGAAGCCAACTCAGTGAAAAGCGATGTGCAGGTTCCACTATTCTGTTGAGCGTACAGATGAATATTTTCTTAAAATTAACTTGCTACATTTCGGGTTGCAGAAACTATATTCATCCAGGTTTAACGTTCTTTGCCGGAAACCAAGATGTTGTACCATTCTACGGATGTCGCTTGTTTCTTTGTACCTATAATCCTTTCTTGTTCGGTTAAACTCGTTAAGTTAAAAGTACCGACGAAAGAAAAGAAAACTACAAAAACCTCTTTTTCGTTGCAAAGGCTTCATGGTTTTAGTGGCTAGCAATCGTATATGTGATAGGTGTGACAGATTTTTGATGCCGCGAAATATGACGTGCTTTAACAGCATGTACTTCAAGTAATATACTTAAGTTTGTCAAAAAGTGTGAAGCCATCAGTTTTCTACTGAGTTATTTCATTGAACGTTTTAAGTGCACTTAGCTTGAATCAAGTGATTACTTTAAACTACCTTAACTTCTAGTGTAAAGGTTACATATCTTATTGTCGCATAATATGCAGGTTTTATTTCCGGGGGGTACTTCCTTATAAGAGGCTAAAGGGGATGAGCCGCTGGATGGGGTCGCATTTTCACGACCGGATTGACTATAATGGGGTCACATTTTCTATAGAGTTACTAGAATGGGGCGCACATTTTCGGATTTTTGGGGTAAGACAGTTCTGCATATTTACGATTAGCAAACGTACCAGGATGTTTGTGCTGCCGATGAAAAGTAACGTGTTCTTCCCGGTCAATCTAAAAAATGGGCCAATTCATAAAAATAGAGAGTGACTAAGTTGGGATCGCGAAAATTACATATTTGCCCAAAAGTGACTAAGATGTTGTTTATAATTGGCCACAGAATACACTATAATGGGGTAGGGGCTCTGAGAGGCCAGCGGCACATACCCAGCAAAAATTTACCCAAGTACCCCCCTCCCCCCCCCCTGGGAGGTTTCTCAGCTCAGTTTTACGTTTTCTAATTCAGGTATTAAATTAAATTAATCTTGATTGACTGTCCTCCCATTGGGGAACATTCTCAAGGAGAGAAAGCTGTCAAGGCACAATAAAGCGACATTGACGTATTTTATGCTTCATATTATTTCTTGATGGATGAAAAGACACTTTACTTTGTTTGATTAGAAATGTTGGCATGGTGTGAGGGTAATGGACGCTCTATGTAGAGGTCAGGGCTTTGTTAGATATTTCACTGTATGGTGAATTATATATGCGATAACCAAAACATCGTTTATTTGACAATGATGGATAAACCACGGTTGAAACATTTAGCATATATCGATCAAAAGGAAATCGTTTAAAGCCGCAACACGTAAGTTGTTTGTTTGGGTCAAATTAATTACAAATAAATGTTTCTTACGCGTATGCTTTAAAGCCTTATTTAACACGTGGAGAGTACATTACAGTGAAAAACCAATGTGTTTAAAGAAAACCGAGGGATAGACTATAGTAGACTAAACTTTGTTTGAGAGAAAAGACAACTCCATTACATTCAGTTTAATAAAGTAATAAAACAGGCAGTAGTGTACTAAGTTTCCTTTCGGCATGAGCTTTCTTCTATTTATCAGATTGAAAAAGGGAGTTAATGTGACATCCTATTAAATGTACCGGAACATGGCTACCTCTCTTTCGCAAGAGCACTCATACATAACTTTTCTTTTGAAGAAAAAGGTCATATATCTCTTATGCCCGATCTTTAACGAACAGCAAAATCAGCTTTGTAATATAGTTTCGTACACTTAAAATTGTTCATAAGGGTTAAAGAAACGCCTTAAACAATAAATTTGTCTTCACGGCGTTATCAATTTGCCAGCAAACTCATCTTTATTACAGAAAAGACAAATGTTTTGGGAATATTAAATTAAAAAGGGGAAGGACTTGAGATTAGTTCAAAAACAAGGCGACGAATTTATCTTTATAATTTACTACAAGCTGAAAAAAATCGTTTTTAAGATCGACTCATGGCTCCAGCTTGCACACATTTAGAGCAACTCGAAGAGGCAGCTTTTGGAAGAAGTGGATATATATAGGATACACGTACGATAACAGGTTGTCTTTGTTTTTGTGATTCTGTTAAAAGCCCTCAGAGGGCTGACTGACTACGTAGGATGCCGCAGTGTAGCATTGCTGGAAATATTTAAAACCATTTTATATCGAGATAATTTTAATTTTGTCCGTGGGAGTCATCCTCCCTGCCCTCAGTTTTTGCCAATTTTCCGCCATCGGAAGCAGCAGGATTCACTCTTTGCGTGATCTTATTTTAAACAGGACACCACCTACGCTGTGGACCTTTTCACCTTGCTATAAAATAAACAGGCAGGTATATCAGTCGGCAGAAAACAGTATCTCACACAAGAACAGAATAGTTAAAAGGATACTAGATAACCTCTCACGAGAGCTAAGGTAGGTAATTTAGAAAAAATTGTCGCTTAATTTGTTACTATCGGGAAAAATATACTATCCAGTATCCATTCCAATTTTTAGGTCTCTTTCCATTTTAAAAATCTTAACAATGGAACTGCGAATGTTCTAAACGTCCAAAGAGCAGTTACAGTGACTATAAGATTTATCATTCTCAAAATGTAGTTGATATCTGTGTTTACATTTCCTATTTTCCCGACGGTAAAAGCCTTAATTTTTTCAATGGTTACGTGGTGTCAGATTTCGTTCAAACCATGCAGCTACTACCTCAGTAAAATAGAACGATTTTATCCTTGGATTTATTGGTTCATCTTCCTCTCACCCAGAAATTGTCTTTCTCGTAGACCAATAATGCTAGGAAACCGGTTGACTCTTCAATTCCTATGTGCACTTCTGCTCATCCTCGCTACATTTGTTTGCGACAGCGATGGTATTTGGACTATGCGATATGGCCGAAGTATCGCCAAAAAAAGAACTTTCCCCTATAGAGATATAGCTACTCTGTTGGCGAGAGAACAACTCAGATCCTACAATGAATGGGAAAGACCCGCACTGAATGCGAGAAACATGGAATCAGAAAGGTACGTACTCCTTAGCACTCCTGAAAAATCTCGTTGGGTTTGTTTAAGCCACAAGCAAATAAATTCTGTTTAAGACTTTCTTTAGCTAGGGACGGGTAGGAAAGAAATTGAATGAAACTTCTGGCCGGGGGTTTTGACGTTGACTACGGGATAAAAAAAAGAAAAAAAAAGATCATGAAAAGTCACCTCGTTTTTTCTATCACATTGGAGTGCTGAAAAATAATATGTCTTTCCTTTGTTGCTCAGGGGACATGTGCATCAGCGACGGTCGCGTAGTTTACAAAAAATTGGGGGAAATTTTCTTAATACTGGCCCTCAAGCTTTGCTATAGACATAACTGACAGGGCGTTTATGCCTCAGGTCTTCCTCTTGAAAGAGAACCATTTTCCGTGAAGATTCAGAATTCCGTCAACCCATTTTAATCTAATGGGCAGCATGATTTAATAAAAGCATCCTTGCGAGTGTGTTTTGATCATGACAAATTCTTCTGTAGCTGAAGAATGTGTTTCTACAGTTAAATCAATTTTCCTGGGAAATACAGAAGTGACTGGGAGGTCCTTGAGTACCGGCTGGGAGGTAATTACTTAAACTGCAGAATAGTATGCAGACCGCTCACCACCAGATTCAATTAAGTCTCCTCGCTGAATTTTACTTCTGACTCTGAGTGCAGACTCGATCCATGAAAGCCATCTGTGAAAATCCGTGTCATATTGTTGGAAAACTTCTATGGACGAAGGCGAAAACCGAAAAAAAGCGTGACGTCACAAAAATCCAAGATTGTCAATTTATCGGATTGGTTAGCATATTCACAAAGAAAAAGCTGAAAAAAGCCCCCTTGCCAAAAATGAGCTTGTTAGTTAGTGCAAATTGATGAGGAGATAAAAGCACCGGTTTGCTCTGATGACTCCTTACAAATAGCGCTAACCACCAGGGCCCAGTTGTTCAAAAGGTGAATAGAGCTATCCACAGGATAAATCACTATCCAGTGGATAATGCAATTGGTTTCCCTAGTACTTATCCGCTGGAAAGTGATTTAACCGGTGGATAGCGCTATCCAGCTTTTGAGCAACTGGGGCCAGATAAATCACTATCCAGCGGATAAGTATCAGGGAAACCAATTGCGCTCTCTCTATCCGGTGGATAACGCTATCCACCTTTTGAGCAACTAGGGACAGGCCTATTTGAGAGGGATTTATCAGGAGTCATTGGAGCATAACTTTGCCAAGAGAGGATAAAGGGAACAGAGAAGGCATCCCCCATACACATCCTATTTCGTAGGTAATTTGTCTCGAGTTATTTTTAGAATCGGGATAAAGTTACCTCGCGCGCTGCGTGGATGTTTCGTGGAGGTTTCGCATGACTAAACGCCGTGCAAAACATGTCGGAAAAAAGGCAATGAAAGCGTAAAGAGATCGAGAGCATTAGTGAATATTGAAGCGAAATGAGTCGGCGCTCACCTGGGAAAAGGGAATCGCTAGACTCTTTGACAACCCGTGAAATCAGTTTAACTCGAAGTTGTCGTAACCTCAGTGCTTTAATAAAATGAGAAATTTCGACGGTCGTTTGTACAATAAAGCAAGTAGGACGCCAAGTGTTATTTTTGTTGAATAATAAAAGATTAATAAAAGAATAAATATCAAACCACAAATTGCTCTCTTTAAACTGTAAATTATAAATGATCCACAGAGAATATTCAGTGTGTTAAGGATTTCCCAGCTGTACTGTTAGCTCTATACAAGAGAAGAGGGGCGATTCTTTTTTAATTTCCGTTTCGCTGATGACACAGCTTTAGTAGAAATCTCTCTTTAGTCGTTTTCGTCGACAAAACGAATACCAATATCGCTCTCCGCGTCTTCCGCCATTTTTTTCAGCCGTCAATTCGTGAAGGACACGTGGCTCTAAGCGTGGGTCATCCACGAGGAACACATTCGCGCTATGTGACTGGCTGTTGTCTAGTCCCCGCCCCGCCCCCAAAGCCAGGGAAAAGCGCCCTGGGGACGAGGTTGCCTTGGGATCTGTGGTCTTAAAATAACTCGAAACGAATTACCTGTGAAATAGGGCGTGTATGGTGGATGCCTTCTCTGTCCCCTTTATCCTCTCTTGACGTTGCTTAATATGCAGTCGAAGCTCTCGTAAGCGACCACCTAAGAAATTTGTTTAATGAGTGTCTTAAAATCTGATATAGACACGTCTAAACTTTACATTCTTATTTTTAAGACCAAAATAACGCCATTAAAGGGTTGATTTAAATGAATATGACTGTGAGTGGTCGCTTACGACAGCTTAACCCTTTAAATCCTAATATCAAATTTCAAATTCTCATTTGTTATCCCTATACGTTTTCAATAGAAGTAGAGGGGAGAATTGGTTGAAGTGTCAATTAGATTCACCTTTTTGTGATCACGTCCTCAATTCTCCTGACCTCTGTGTTTTATAAAGCAGTGATATTGCAAGGAGAAATTTGATGCTGATCACTCGTAGGGCTTAAAGGGTTAAAAACAAAGAAAAAGGTTCAGTTGGGTAATCCCAAAATTGGTCGCGGTCGCTTAAGAGAACTAGTACTTTTCATTCCAAGTGAAAGTCACAGTTCAAACGGGGTTTCATAAAGGTTGTCGTAACTAGAGCTGGATTTTTACGAGAGTGGTCACGAGGAGAGCTTCGACTGTATCTCCTCACCAATTTACCTCAACAGGCTGATTTTTGGTAAGTGAACATCACTCATCTTGTTCTTTCCGGATTTACCAACCAATCCCACAATTTCACAAATTTAGTTTTTGTGATGTCATCACTTCTTTTCTCTATTGTAAATCTGTCGATCAAACTTATGGAAGCGTTTTTGGAAAAATAAAGGTAATTGTTCTTACATTTTTGCTTCTTATCTTCAGGTATGTCCCAATTGACGAGCCAAATAAAGGGGGCAAAGAATCAGATTTTGAATGAACTGAAACGTTGCGGCAGGATTGAAGTTAAAATGACGCAAGGATTAAAAAATTTAAAACCCAGATAGACTTAAGAAAAAAAGTGGAATGCATTTCCCAGTGGGAAAACCTCCGTGCGTGCAGTCTTTCACTATCTTTTTAATCCGAGTCTTTGATATCAAAGAAAATCATATGAAAATATAAATATATATAAAACAACTGAATGTGTCCAACTGAGTTTAAAACCGCAACTATGCTTTTGTGCAACTTTGGGTCTTTACCGTAGCTGGTTTTCCAACGTTTTCGAAAGCATTTGGCGGGACGGCTTATGTCGGAGAGTAAGTGAGTAATAGGCATGTTAAGTGACGTCACAGTTTCAAGTCATTTACTATTTTTACCTTAAGTTGCACTTTAACGCATTAATGAATGATTTTCCAGTAATCGGAGATGCGCACAGGATTATGGTATCGCCGGGGGCAAACATTGCAAGTCGCTACAAAGAAATGTATAACGTGGAGTTGTTTCTCCGTGAAAAAAATTGTCTTTGGACAAAGAATGCCGCGTTTTGCCGTGGTTTTATGGGAAGTGTAGGTGACTACTCTTGGTGCATTCAAATTTTAAGCTTTTTTGTAGGATCAATGCGATGAATTCTGTCGATAAACATGCACTCCTTGCGAAAGGTCGACAGTGAAATTTACTGAATGGTCTCGAATTATATATTTCTAACTTAAGTATAAATGAGAATGGGAATGCGGACTCGTTTATAGGCCTTTCCAGTTGTAGTCACATCTGTTGATATATTTACAACGAGTGCCGTGAACTACACTCGGCTCGGCGGCGATCACAACGCTGTGCCGAATTGTGATAACGATCGAAGGTATATGTATTGATATGTAACTTTAAAACCAAACACATCTTCCCTACGTTGGTCTATTGATTTCTTCTCGCCAATAAACGCACAAGCAAAATTTTTTGTCATGGTCCGAGCACCATGGAGTTCTACGGCCTTTTCTAATCATTTTGTGGGAGGATACATATATATAGAATCTCTGAAGTTCGCACTTGGAGTTTACACTCGCTACGCTTGTATTGGAAATGTCTCGTTTTGCGTGCGCTGATCGCGGCCGGGCGTAGTTTCACTCTTTGTAAAAATCAGCGCACGTAATTACAACTTAAAAGCGTAAATGAGCCACCCCCCCTACATTTATACCTAAATTTGCCCTATATATTTCGAGACCTTTTCTTCATGCACATCACTGTGTAAATTCAGTAATCATAAATTTCACACTCAACCTCACGCAAGGAGTGTTTATCGATAGAATTTATCGCATTAATAATCACACAGAAACTTGAAATTTCAACGCATCAACATTAGTCACCTCCGCTTCTCACAAAATCACGACGAAAATGGGTAATTCTACGACCAAAAGACACTTCTTTTAACGGAGAAACTACATTTCTTTGTAGTGACCTGAGTGACTCGCAATGTTTGCCCCGGCTGGCGATCCCAGAATCCTGTGCGCATAACATGGGTCATTGATTACTGGAATACCATTCATTTTATAATTTGCATTTTAGTTTCAAAACAAGAACTTGAAGCTACACTGCGGATGCCTTAAGCGCCAAAGCCAGAAATAAAGACAACAAAAACAATCTAAGTATAGTAGTAGGTAGTAATTAACTAAGATGTCGTTAACTTTCCACCCTCAGACAAGCTCAGAGTCACCCGTGGTTCAAATAACACTATTTGGGAAGTACTATCACATAAAACTTTTCCACTTTTCCACAAATAAGGAAAGGCTAGAAAGCAGTTTCTAAGAAGTTTCAAAAATCACCCTTGCATAAGATCTGGCATAACTTGGCTTTGCGCGGAAACTGCAAGCCGCCATGCAGCCGTTCTGGACATGATGACTTGCTCTGACACAGGCCAATAAGGCGGGCTTGTCCTCGATACACGGGTGTACATCTTAGAGGAGTCAATCCGGTAAACAATTTTTTGACGTTGTAGAACTGCATTTCTTGACATTTTTTACAGACACGTATTTGACCAGTTACGACAAATAATGTTATTGTGTTTTACCTTACCGGGGATGCTGGAACGAATGACAGTATCTTTAAGACCTTTTTACATTGACACTACTGAAGCTACCGACCTTTTTTGTAATTTAAAGAAAACGTGACCATGCATGGTCCCGGATGTTTAACTGACACAGCGCCAGCTATATGGAAATTTATAACGTTGACGCCATGAGTGAATTTTGCCCATGTTTCAACTGCATAGTCACAATAATATGATTCAACACGCCGTAGAGTCATCTATTTATTACAAGTAATTTAAAGAGAATATATCGAGTCTCCTTCCCAGGCCTAGGTCCGCGTCAGATCCGCGTTACAACAGCTGTCCTTATGTCCAGTCCATAGGCTTCGACAATTACTTTTCTTAGATCGAAAAAGACGGAATAGGAAGTGCGTGGCAACTTATTTTCTCATTTCAGGGCCGGACTCCATTGTGTCCTAGCCTCCCACGCAGATGTCCTAAGGGGCTTGTCACGCGTTCCTGCTCCACGACAGTCTGCTGAAAAGAGCAGCCACTTCCGTTCTAGCCTGCGTGCAGACGATAACTAAACTCTGATTAGTACCGTCTGCGAAGCAGCGCAGAGATCCTTGTTCTGGGCCCCCAACGGACTCAACGAATTACCGGAAGTGCGTTTCGAATTCCCCTTCAACCTGATTGGCGATCACGACAAACAAAACAAAGCCTTTTTTAACTGGCGAATCGTGGCGCGTACTCAAATCTGGGTACACAGCTGGAAGTCCAGAACAAGGATTTCGGCGCTGTTTCACAGACGGAGTCAACCAGAGTTTAATTTCGTCTGCGCGCAGGCTACTTCCCCGTTCCATCAACAGTATAGACTCATTGTGACGAGGTGGAGCCAATCACATGCTGCGAAGGAAGGGAAATCGACATCCGTGGTTCACCCGAGGAGTAGTTTTCGCCATTAGATTCTCACCAAAATATCCATTATATTCCATGTTCTCATTCAACTCTTAAGAGGGTTATTCGGAGCGAATTCGTTGGGCTTCTACCTTGGGTAAAGACAGGGTTCGAGTTTGGAAACAGTGCTATTGACATTAAGCGATCTTTTCATCTGCAGGGCCCGAGGCCTGCACATGTTTTCACTGCTGAGTACAAACTGTATCAAGCCTATTTTTTCCCGCTATAAAAATAATACAGCAACGAGAAAATAACCCACCTATCGTACATTTTATAAGTGCGAAAATTGTGACAGAGAATGTAGCCTGTCACCCCTTGCAGGTTTTACTTGAATTAGTTCTTCACAGATATCACTAAGAGAATTTGAAGCGGCAAGAATCCCAAGATTTGCCACCTTGTGGACCTCACTATACAAGCGGTGAAGCTACAACAACAATATGGCCAGTAGCTTCAAAAATTTAGTCAAAACATACGGAAAAGCTTGACTAATGAACGACTTTCCACATCCAGTCAGAAGATTTACAAAGACATCAATCTTAGTCGATCTACAAAAATTGGACTTAATGCAGCCTTCTGTTTGATTCGGTTTCAACCACCTAATACCAAACATTTCGGACATCAACATGACACTAAACATATTTAAGTCCCCTATCTTGTCCTGGGTAATATTTTCAACAACAAGCACGAGTTAACCCAAAGTTGGAAAACGGCCTTTGATTGGTTCGTATCTACGAACGGAAGTGTCTGCTCGTTTCAGCAGACGTTCTTGGGAAAGCCCCCGAACGCGTGACGAAGCCCTAAGAACGTCTGTGTGGGAGGCTAATTCTGTCCAAGCTAATAATGTTTAGTTACGACATCTTGTATTTGACTTTCACTGGGTTACAGTCATATTTAAAATAACGACTAAGAGCTCCGATCAAACTCTGACCCAGTCGCTAGGTAAATCAACGGGGGCCTTTCTAATTAAAACGTGGAGAGAATCAGTGAACATAAATTGGGAAGAATAAATCGAAAGGATTGTTTCCGAATCGGTGATATTGAATTTACTACAATTTGCCAAACCGAGAAAATAATAATTCAGGTCATATCAAACTCAGAAATTAAGCGAAACATTTTAAATCTATTCAGTTCATCTGAAAGACAACGTATCAAATAAAAAGAAAAAAAAATGAAGAGCTGGATGCATGAACAAAAGAGTACCGCGCCGCAACAGCTAAAACTAAGGATAGATTTATGATCCCGCAAGTATTTTGAAATATCCATCCTTGGCGACTTGTTTTGGGTTGTTGTTTCCGAAATATTGATTTACTTTTGCTTTTTAATGAGCTGCTGTAAAATAGAAAGAAAAAAAAAAAGGGTTGGAGGAACAATCATTATCATCCCGCAGAGAAATATCCATCCCGACTTGTTTTCAATTTGCAAAAGATCAAAGCTAAAACCAATCGTCATGCAACATTTTGTTGCAGCAGCGTTGCATTGAGTGGCTGTTACATTTCGACCGTTTGCCGTTTAAGTCTTTCTTCATTTTACCAAAGCAACAAATAGTTACAGTAACTGTCAGAGATTAAAAAAAATGGTTTATTCCTTTTTCGTGCTATTACAAATTTATCTTCAACATCCAGACAAAGCTGACATTCATAAACAATTTAACTGTGGTCTATCGGTGGTTAATTCATTAGTCTTCACTCTGAGGCCGAAGGTTTATGCAATCCTCATCTGAAAGAGAATGAATAAAAGTAAATCAGATTTCCCCAACTGAAAAAGGTGCCTCAACTTTGCCGTGATAATTTCTTGTATTGTATGAAAGTTTCCTCAGCTTTCCGATAATGTGCTTAAATACAAAAGGCGGCACAAATGTAGCCAGACTGATCACCGATGTAACATGTTTTCATAATTATTTAATAGTTAACTGGGTCCCAATACCGAATAGAGCTGGCCCAAACTCCCTGCAAACCCTTCGCCAACATTAAATGCGAGGCTTGGATAAGTAACAATTAAGGTTCAAAACTCTGGATCTTAAATGTATCTTGAACTTCAGT